TTTTAGAGGAACTGAGTGAGACCAGACGAAGTCGACAAAAACTGCAGCTAAAGCCAGAAAGATACGCAGCCGGTCCCTCTAATATCAAATGTTTTAAAAAACAAATATATTCGCTGCACAATCATGTTGTTTGGGGGGTTTTAAGGCGGTATTGGAGTTAATTGCCGGTTCTCATTATGTGTTCACTGAGTCCTGACACAGGTGCAAGGTTAAGTGCTTGCATCCCATTTCCTTCTGTGGAGCTTTATCTAAAGAGCTCTAGGAGAGTCCCGGCTGGTTTCTTCTGGGCTCTAATCCCTTCAGTCCTGTCTTTGCAACATACATATGTTAAAGGAGCTGCCAGATTTGCTCAGCGCCAAAGAGAATGTTTGAATGCAATCTCATCCCACTCACTCCCTCCGTCTAAGCCCAGGCTCTCTGCTCTGGTCTGCTCTGCTCTGCTGCTGCTGCTCCACATATTTTTCATCTTCTCTCCAAGACTCGACTCCTCTGTGTCATCCCACAGACGTCCGTTCCTCCCGAGTCCTGCTTTGTGTCTTTTTCTCTTGCTTTACTCCCTCAACCTAATGCAGCAGCCCTGTTGCTCAGCGTCGATGGATGGATCTGTGCAGGCTTGGATGTGTCCTGCAGGCTGGTTGAGGAATCAGTGCCGTGCACACTGAGAGCCCCACTGAGCTCTGATAAATGTGTATAGCTCTCAGTCAGAACAGCACTGGCGTAAAATGTATTGAATTTGAGTTAAGGGCCAGTTTTTTACACGCACTCAAAGAGGCTGATGGGAAAACCTTTTCACTTGAAGCTGTGAGCTCCTATTTCTATTATGTGACATGTCACCTTTGGTACCCGTATTTATGATGAATACGTATTAATCATGTGGAGTTGCTCCCTTTTGCAGACATCAGGTCTGTCTCGAGAACTGCAAACGTAAGTGAAAACTCTTGAAGTTTTTTGTGAAGGCTAAAATGAACTGTTACAAGACTCGTGTCGGCTTCCTTTAGTGTGTGAGAGTCTGAACATAGTGTGAGCTTTCACGTAATACAACATTTTCACAGATATAGATATAATGATATGGAGTCTGAGACCCGATGATATAATACACAATTCAAACACACGTTTTTCAAAACCACCCAATGTATATTCGATAACTGAGTAGCTCTGCAATGCATTAAAAAAACTACATTTCTGCAGACAAGCTGTTAATTAATGTTTGGTCACAAACCTTGCTATTATTGTCTACATAGATGTCAAACAAAATGTATTGTAGCTTAGTTGTAGTACCTGGTTGCACCACCAGGTGGAGCCTCTTACTATTTACTCCTCCTGTGACCCAAAGAGGCGGTCACTCGGACTACAAGCAGCTATGTGTGGTAGGCAGAGAGCCTTGTTGGGGCGTAGCTAACAACAGGCCACCATGACAAAGACTTCCGTGATGCTTAATGACCTACAGCTAGCGCTAATGCTAACCCATAGCTGAGATCAAGTACGACAGCGCTCCTCCAGTCCAGTCGCATGTGTAGCTGTTCCACATTTACTGCACTCTCATCACAGTGCAAATGTTCATGTTGCTCCCTTTGTGTTATCGATAAATCCATTATTGGTTCATCATGTTGTTGATTATTGATTTAGAAACAGATTTTGCGTTACTAGCATTCAGCTACATGTTGTGCTCTCCCAACACCTCCTCGACAGTGGATGGATCAGGTTACGGTTTGATTGGCTCGGATCCCAATCTTTGGGATCGGATCAGGACAGCCCTGGTAAAAACTAAACTTTAGGCACAACATCCTGAAAGGTGTAACTGTAGAATCATACGTGAGCTTCTCCTGATAACCGCTGAACCAAGTTGAAGAGTTCCTGAGAGACATTTGTTTGCAGCGACTGGTTTTCTGTACATGTCAATAAAATGCGGTCTGTTAGCGTAGCATAGCATAATGAAGGAACAAGTTTGTCATTTAATTTTCAAAGGTGACAAACTGCCTCTCAGTACATCTGAAGCTCATCAGTTAACATTTCACTCGTCTGACGTGTATAAAAAACTGACAACTTGTGTGTTTGTGGGTGATGGGGATGGGATATTTCTAGGTTGAGAGCAGAGACTTCCCGAAGGCGTCACTTTATATTTAATGGTCAGGAGTAAGTAGATTTTGTCCTGTCTTCTTGGAAAGTTGCATTCTTGCTCACCTCGTATTTACTATACCGACAGATCCCCTTGATGTCCTTTTCCAGTTGTTGATTTTTAAAAACTTGTCCAATGTGTATCAAAGTTAAATATTCAGAAGTTTGTTTTACCATGAAAATAAATCCTTCCAGCCTTAAAACAGCTTAGATGTAACTCTGCACCTCTAGAATGTGCAGATCTGTGCAGCCTCTCTCTACATCCACTCCTCCCCCTCCCCTCGCTGCAGCACGAGCACACCAGCTCAACTACCAAACACTTTAAAACTACTCCATGCTACGTAATGTTAAGTTGTAGTAATTCAGTCATAAATGCTCGAACTGCAAACCGATTCTGCAGAAGAATGAAGATAAGAAAAGTCCAGCCAGCTCGCTTGGTTCCTCCAGTTTGTTGTGTTTGTATCCTTGGAAGTTTGAATTCTGTTTTTTATTTGCAGGTTCAAGGTAACCTGCGTTGCCAGGGCATGCGCTGCTTATATAGCTCGTGATGTGTCTTCAGCATTCATGTTCTGTGCTCTACACATACGCTGCTGCTGCTAAAGCCAGACTCGGGCATCATTTCTGTGAATTACAGCTACAATAACGCTCTTCCCAAGAACAGTTTATTTACTCGCAAACCGTGGAACACACGGGGGTTGGATGCCGTTGTCTTTGTCGATTAGACATTCCTGGATTTGCCTTTCAGAGCACTGAGTTAAAACTCTCCCTCCATCTGCCTGTAGGCTGAGCCATCACCAGCACTCAGCTGAGAGAGACCATTAACCGGCCGAACAATGTGCAGCCCAGCGCTGGTCCTCTGTTAACCAGCTCAGAGAGAAGGTTGACTCTGGACGTCGATAGGGGCAATTACGCTGTTATTTTAGTTGTTACGGTCTGCTGAGGGTAAAAATTGACAAGCTCTAAGACGACACAGATTGATTATGGTAATAATTATCTGCTGTTATTGAAATTGACAGCTGCTAGCCTCGCTGCAGGACCCTGCACCTCTCAAACTCGCTGCTGTGAAGATATGCACATAAAGCTACTTGGCTGTTTAAAATGAAAGCTGTATAATATCTTGTCAGCTGCGTGCGTGAATCAGAAGGAATATTCAGCGTTTGACCCTGGCTTCGCATCGTAGAGTGTTCAGCATCTTAAAGCCGGTGTCCTCTTTCCGTGCTTCAGATGGTGCCATAATTCCAAAGCCGGGATGGTGCCAGTTAATTGGGTTCCCTTACATGGATGCTGGGCAGCGCAGTGACGAAAAACTCAGAGTAAGAGCATGACCAAATGGCTGCTCAGTGCTGCCGCCGACGCCGCCCACGTCGGTGTATTGTAAATGACTTGCTTTTAGAATGAAGTGTGGGAGATTTGTGGCGAATATTATAAATGAAGTCTGAGAGCTTTCACTGAAATGTTTAAACTCACAGGTGTCTTTGTCATCTGCAGACGGTCCAAACCTTTCATATGCAGAACACCCGGCCGCCAATTTCCACTCGGTGACCCTTCACCTCGCCAACTCCCCACAACGCTCCTGCAATTACCAGCACGCTCCTTGTTTTCTGTTTATTTGTTGTATTTTGTTGATCTGATCTTCGGCCTCTCGATCCCCCCTGATGGAGATAAAATTGCTGAACATGTATAGTCAAAGCAAACCCAGTGATGGGCTTAATAAAGACACAGGCGGCGGAGAGGAGGAGCTCAGGTCTGGTTGCAGCTGCTGCATTGGCTGTCGGCTCAGCAGCGTGGAGGGGCTGAGGGAGGGAGGGAGAGCGAGAAGGAGAAGGAGAGGGAGAGAGAGAGAGTTGGGGGAGGAGGGCAGAGCTCTTGTTGGGAGATAGGGAATGCCCGTTAGTTGCGTCTGCCGATAATAGCACATCAGCCAGTGTGGGGAGAGCAGAGCGCCGGCAGTGCGGAGGACTGAGCCGCTGAGCACAGAATGGTTCACTAGAGAAGACAGGCAGAGAGAGAAGGAGGCACAGAGAGAGAGAGATACAGACCGAGGAGGAGTGAGAGCGCATCAGTGAGAAGAGGAGGAGGACCGGTGAGGAGCGTGGCCGTGGAGAGGAGAGAAAAGTTACCAGGTCAGCAGGAGAAGGTGGAAGAGGAGCAGCTGAGACTCGCTGGGGTCTCGGTTCCCAGCAGGAGGAGAGTGATATCGCAGGAGTGCACAGAAGGAGCGCTGCAACTTCTTCCCCACAAACACAGTCCAGTGGAGGGTAATGCTCCTTCAGGATTATCACAGCGAGGCAGCATCAGTGAGCGGAGGACACTAGAACCTGCCAGAGGTGCCTGAGCAGCTCCATTCAGCTCCATTCATCTCCATTCAGCTCACTTCCACACAGGAGACGCTCTCATCCAGCTGCAGTGTTTTGAGGTGGATGTAGTTGTTCTCGCTGGGTGTCTTTTTTTTTTTTTTTTTTTTTTTGTACCCTTTATTGCTTCAGAGCGTGAAGCAGTGGAGACTCGGAGGGCAAGTTGCTCTGTCCTGTCATCTCTGAGACTATGGTAGACTGTGCGTCAGAGAGCCCTTCATCAGCAGCTGCAGCCCTAGAGCATGGAGAAGTCCAGCAGTGAGGAGTCAGCCATTCATCGTAGCCCTTCTGTAGACAGCCGTGACTCCGATTTTGCTCAAGCCTCCACGTCTGGCCGCCCATTTGGCGGCCGCGGCTTCACTGCCGGCGCTTTCTACGGCTCCACGGGGCCGCGCAAAAACGCACAGCAGGGGCAGGCTGGAGCGGCAGCTGACGCCGGCGCAGGAGACAAGACCAACAACAAGTACAGCTCACCCAAAGGCAGCAAATACGTAGTCTTTTACCTGGATCTATCCTTTGTGTTCCTTTTAGAATTCAAGAAGTGCAACATGGCAAGAGGCTGCCTCTGCTGCTTGAAGTATATGATGTTCATCTTCAATCTCATCTTCTGGGTAAGTGTCTCATTATTATGTTAATCTGTTCCTCATCATACTTGCTCACATTGATGTAGTCGATGCTGTACGGTTCAACAGAATGATTGTGACAGAGTCAATCTGGCTCCAGTGATTCAGTGCCAGTCATTATCCTGATCTATGGTAACAAATGTGAAGGCTCAGTGTGTGATAAGTTTTTCAAAATGTGATTCACAAAACATCAGTGTGCGACAAAGTGATGGCTGTCAGGGCGATCATGCGTTTCTAATTACATCAGAGTGTTTATGCCTGTTGGTCTCTGTGCATGTTGCTATTCCTGGATGTCATGACAGAGTCGGTGGCATTGCACCAGGTCCCCTTTTGTATTTGGCGGGGAGGGGAGGGGGTTCATTTGGGTCACTCATTCACATGGTTATATGATTTACAGTGAACACGGAGCCGAAATGTTGCGCTCGGTATGCGAGTGAAAGACGGTCTCCTTCTACAGGGCAGTTACACAATATGCGGCAGGAGGAGATGAGCCGAGGTGGTCAGCTGTGGTTTCAAGGGACTGGATCTGTGGGCTTCATGCAACGTCTCGGATGAAGCTGGTTTTAAACCAATTAAAGAAACCCATTGTGTTGTAATCGTCAAATTGTATTAATCACAGCACAAGTAGGTAATCACTGTAATTGCAATAATTACAGAAAACATGTAATATCTCGGTGTGATTGTGCTCTCGCTGCCAGATTTACTCACTAATACGGCCCATTCAGAGCAGCCCGGCCCGCCTGTGGCCTCTGTGGACCCGTGCATGGGCATTTATTGTAAAAGTGGGCATCCCGCAAATGTTTACAGAACGGATTATCGGGCTTATGGGTTATGAGGCCAAGTCTTTTGTGTGGGTGCAGCGAAGCGTGAAGCGTAAAAACATCCCAGCGCTGGAGACTCCACCAACCCGGGCCCACCATGTCACTGGGCTGTGAGCCCCTGCTAACTGGGGCACAGTGAAGGCAGCGGAGTGGGCATTAGCCACAGCTGTGGAGAGGGCAGCATTAAAACCGCACACGTACACATGCACCACTCAAATGGAAATCCATCCCATTGTCCATCTCCTACATGAGAACGGACAGCACCGCGAGTGGCCGGAGCGCCGGACCTTTCTGCTGCTCCAGGCCAATATCTCCATTTCACTGTCGTACCGGGAACGCTGTCCACAGAGGCAGCAGTGATTTGCAAAGACACACACATGACTCAGGGGCTCATCTCTGGATTATGTAAATGTTTGTTTAGAGGAAGGAGAGGGTCAGAAAAGCGTAGCCGCTGATAGGTTCATTATTGCAGACGCTGGCTCACCTTGATGCGAGCACCTCTTCTCGACTCGCTCATTATGTGCAGAGTGCAAGTAAGTGCTCCGGTCTCGACTTCGCCGCTGTTTGAATCAGAAAGGAATTTTTAAGTAGCTTCCGGCTCCACCATCGATCTGCGCTTTTTCATTATTACAAAACGCATGTTTCCCGGCGCTGAGAGCTTCATGTAAACGGATGAAAGGAGTCTTTTTATAGCATAACCTGCATAAATAAGGTCTTTGAATCAAAAATTAAGGAAGCATAAGTAAATTATTCAGCGGATAAACTGGATAAGATGAAAAATAAATGCCACGAGAACCGCCGCTTGTGTTCCTTTTATATCTTGTTAATTAATGGCCAAACAAAATTCACCCCACACACAGAATATTCAGGACGCTAATTAGATGAGAATAAATGTGCATCAACTCTAAGCCATTCTCCTGATAATAAAAGGGGCCTACGCATACCTTAAATATTGATCTCCCTGATCAACAACGGTTTCCACTTCAGAACATGTGCAGCTCTGTTTCCTGTTGAGTCGCGTCCCTTCAGCTTTGTGCGTCCAATCAATCAAATTTGCGAATTACTTTTTTCTTGAGGCTGCGAGTTAAATATTTTATTTCAGAGCCGTATCAGACTTTCCATCAACACAGACATACCGTCACTTATCTGTCTCAGTGCGCTGATATAGGTCAGCCTGTAGCAGAGGTCACCAGGTCAATATCATGCGGCGGCTCCTTAAGAGCCGCTCACACGGGATTTGTATGAAGGCGTTCACTTACCAGGTTCTTTCCAAGCTCTGCTGGTGCTTAACCCTTTTCAGTGGCAAAAACCCACCACTAATTACCGACTAGTGCACAACACTAATAAGGCGGTGGAGAAGAGGCTTTGGGCTTCAAGGTTGAAGGCCTTCTGGTTCACGTGGAACACATCCTGTTTGTGGAGTTGCATCATAGTCACAGTGGGAGAATGCAGAAGCTCCACAGCCACTGTTGGGTTTGAGGACTTCCTCTCATCGTATTTGTGAACATAGGTGTGTGTGTGTGTGTGTGTGTGTGTATGTGTGTGTGTGGGTGAATGAAGAACTTAAGTGGCTATGGACCTTCCCCAGCGCGCCACATCCCCTGCTGTGCAATAATTGAATTTTTACTCTGGTAATGTTCACTTAATGAGTGCTCACCGTGCATATTCCCTTCTATCCCCGCAGATTGATACTCTTGTTTTCCTCCCAGCACTAGATCATTCTAATGACAGTTTAATCAGCGTCCCGTGGGAGGGCAGTGGGGTGACGCGGGGGTTGGCATGCAACATGTCGCTGGTGGGTCTGGGTCTATCAGCGGCTCATTGGGGGACTGCCTGACTGGCACTCTCGATTCTGAGACAACTTCTGAATGAAGGTTAGTGGAGCTGCGAATAAAGGGGTGGGGACGGGGCGCCTGTGCACTCGGGGACCGAGGGAAGAGGGTGAGAGGTATGCTGTATCTTGACACCCCTGGGACTGCGCTGCTCTGCCTCTTGACACTCCAGGAATCACAAGGTTACCGCAGCTGGTAGCGAGGTTCGCCTCTTAAGTTCTGACATCTCATCTCGGGACCGAAGCCGGGGGAGTGGTGCGCCGCGGTAACCCGACACCAGGTACAGCAGGGGTCTCTTCTTTCTGACTGAGCCCACATGCACGCCTGACGCGCCGGCACACACACACGGCAGCCATCCTTGGAAGTATGCTCACCACCCACACACCATCCGCCGCACCGGGCTTACACTGGTAACTTGAAGCACAAGGTAAACAGTGGCAGGCACTCCAGGCATCTCCATACATGCACTCATCCTCAGGCCCCCCAGCAGTTGTTCACGACCATCTGGCTCCTCTTTCTTATAAGGGATTAGAAGAGTCTGAGCTGCAGGGGGAGTTTCGGGCAGATTAGAGCAAGTATTGGGTTGTGCTGTTAAGGATTGAGAGCACGGCTCCTTTGGACAGCGCCACGCTAAAGCCAACATCATCAAAGCAAACGGCCTTTGTGGGGTGACAGTGTGTTACAGGGCGTGTGGTTTAGGACACACACACACACACACACACACACACACACACACTATCACTGTGTGTTTGACCAGCCTGATAGGGTGATTGATGTTAAGTCCTACTGGTGTCAGCCTTGAGACCATATCAGTGTTGGTGTTCTGGCTGGGAGCGAGGATTTCAGCCTCTCGCTCCGCAGTGCATCTCTGTGCTCACAGCCGCCCCAGTTAAACTCTCCAATTCCACATTCAATTTATTGTCCACTGCTGCATTTATTTATCTTGTCCAGGGACACAGAACACCTTTGAAAAGTAGAACAATTTTTTTTTTTGCTGCTGTTTAAAAAAAAAAAAACTCAGCCCTGAAAACACCACGCAAGGATTTATTCTGCCGAATCACAAGCAGCATCGCTCACAGGCTCATTTTCTTTGGTTGATAGGTCGTACAGTTGCTAAATGGGCCCTTCCCAGCTGTGCCATTATCGTGCCATAACAAAAGCTAAAGTCTCATTTGATATTCATATTTAAAGGGAAAGTGTCAGCTCAGCAGTCTTGTCCTACGAGTGCAGGAGGGGTGGTGGTATCAAAGCCGCTCCTTTGTTAGAGCTCAGAAAACCAAGTGTGTTTAGCATTCATGAATTCCTGTGCTTACTTAGGGGATTGCTGCAGGATTTATAAACCATTTGGTCCGAGGCAACAGAAGATTAGTTTCCCTATCGATTTAATCACTGAATTTGACATTTAAGGTTTCAAATGTGCCCATGTTCTGATGCTGCACAGAGTCGAGCTATTGACGGACTCAAGGTGGTGGTAAAAAAAAAAGAAAGTCTGTGTTTGTGAGTACGTCTGAGCGTCTGTGTTTGGTTTAATTGAACTCAATAAAAAAAGAAAAGAAAGGAAAAGAAAACCTCACACACGCTGTCCTTTTGCTTCCGCTGGAACTGAGACCTGCCCCCTGTGGTTTCAGCTCAAGGTGCGGAAGCAATTTGCCTGTTTTTCATTCTCCACGTCGGCACATGAAAAGTTCAGTCATCTTTTATGGCTCAAGAGAGCGTGCCTTGTGACAAACTTTTCTATTTCTCTGTGGTTTTTTCCAAGCAGCTCAGCTCGGAGCTCAGCCACCGCCAGGTGAAACAAGGATTTGGATGCGGAGGGAAATAGATGAGAGCTGAGCGCGCTCTCCTCCATGATGAAACAAGCCGTGTATGCCGTGTTGTCACAGCCATTTAATTCCATCAATCCTCCGTGAAAGGCTAGTTTCTGAATTGAATAGGAGTTTGAAATGTCAGAATGCAGAATCAATCGTGACTAGTCCGTCCCACTAAATTTCATACCTTAAACTGTGGCAAGACAGGCGGTCGGTGGATTTAATCTATATCAGGGTATGCATGGCTGCACCTCCGCCGCTCGGTACCAATCATAAATTATATGTCTTCAGAGTCGTGCATAACAGGAAAGAATTTCTAGCCCAAGAGCTGTTTATTTTTAATTTCTCTGTAGCATTTACATTGAGAACATCACTATACTTTCATGCATTTTAATTATTTGAAGTGTGGTAATTAACATCCCCTATAGATCGCCGGGCCTTGATTCAGATTGGCTGACCTCCTTGGTAAATATCTCTGTATGCCCGCCTTTGTCCGGCGCAGCGTCCAGGGAGATCACTCTAATTCA